TCCCGTAAACCCGGACGTAGAGCAGAGCAAGGCTAGGGGAGAAAAACAGTAGAATCATTGCTGGAGAATTATATGATTCAAGGCACTTCTTTCCAAACTGGGACGTGGAAATGAATTTTCAACATGAAACCCCTAAGACTTATTCTGACCTAGGCAGAATCCTTGTCCCGACAAAACCCCTTTTATTAAACGAATGTGAATTCCTCTCCTTCACATTCAGCAAAGGCCTGGCAAACAGTCTTTCAAAGGAATATTTATGACTACAGACCTTATCTACCTTGGAAAGCTGCCATGCCAATATTGTCCAAATGAGTTGCTGTGCAAGGAAAGACGGCACAGAGTCTCTGAGATTCATGGAGAGATCTTCACACTCCTGAAATGAATCTAACAACCAAACAAACAAATTGTTTCCTGCAAAAGCCCCCTTCCCTTTCGCTCCTCTTTTATTTCCTATGGGAAAGGACAATCACCTTCCATCTGTGACTTTACTCCCAAGTCGACCCTGATTTCTGAGGGTTTTTTTCTTCTGGCAGCGCTGCGCATGCACACATTGGGAACAGGCTCCAGGTGTTCCTCTGCCTCACTGCTGTCTAGCTCCGTAGGCACCCGATCACTGCCAAATGGCCTTGGCTCCATCTCTGCCTCTGATGCAGAGCCCTCGTCCGAGCCTTCCCCAGCCTCCAGGACTGGCCCATGTTCCTCCCCAACCTTCTCACTGTCTGATTCTACTGCCAGCTCATCGGTATCAACAGAAAGCAGAGGCCATATTGACAGAATGGCTTCAGAACAGCACAGAGTGTGGTGGCAGCCATTTGAACCGCATGTGCAGAGCGGTGTAGAAAGCAAAGGGAAGACTACTACATTATATATTTCCCAGGAAAATCATGGTAATGGCAGCAAAACCTAACAATGGCCCCGAATAAGGGCACCCCTTAAATGGGGCAGAATCTCCTGGTCTGCTAGAAGCATGATAAACCTAAAACTACAATTTGGAATGTGGAACCTGAGCAGCTTATATGAATCTGGGAAAACACATAACATTAACCAAGAAATGTCCAAATACAATAGGATCACAAACATCTGATGACAGATCTGGCACAAGAAGAAGATGCACTTGGAACAATTCTCCTGTTCTGTGACTTACTTGAGGAAACAAGTAGCACATCTAAGAGATGACTGGAGTCCATGACTCACTTCCTTCATTTTTTTCCCCCAGTTCAGCTAACGTAATTGAATTCAGACAGATCGACCCACATACACCCAGTTTTCTTTTTTTAGCAACACAAATGATGCAGCACAGACAACACAAACTGCTCACATTCTGTAAAGGAAGTTGTTCCTCATCACTGTTCTTCTGCTTTGGGGAATCTATTGGCTGGTAACGACATTTAAATTGTTCAGAGGCTGAAGATCTGTCTCCCATCTTCTCCCATGTATGATTCTAGACCAGTATTTCTGAACCTTAGCAACTTTTAAGATGTTTGGATTTCAATTCCTAGAATTCTCCAGCCAGTCTTATTGGCTGGCTGGGGAAGTCTAAGAATTGAAGGGTGGTGGTTGTTGTTAGTTTTGAACCCGTGTCCGACCCATCGCGACCCCGTGTACAATGCTCCTCCAGGACTTCCTGTCCTCTATCATCCCCCGAAGTCCATTTAAGCTCACGCTGACTGCTTCAGTGACTCCATCCAGCCACCTCATTCTCTGTCGTCCCATTCTTCTTTTGCCCTCAATCTTTCCCAGCATTAGGCTCTGTTCCAGTGAGTCCTTCCTTCTCATTAGGTGGCCAAAGTACTTGAGTTTCCTCTTCAGGATCTGGCCTTCTAAAGAGCAGCCAGGGTTGATCTCCTCTAGGACTGACAGGTTTGATCACCTTGCAGTCCAAGGGACTCGCAGGAGTCTTCTCCAGTACCAGAGTTCAAAGGCCTCCATTCTTTGGCGCTCATCCTTCCTTATGGTCCAACTTTCACAGCCATCCATTGCAACTGGGAAAACCAAACAACTGAAGGGTACACATCTTAAAATTGCCAGGGTTGAGAATCACTGGCCTGGATGTTCAAAAACCCCAAGGTTTAAGAATGAGTTCCATTTCTCTACCAAAGGGAGTGGAAAGAGAAGTCTATCCATGAAAAACATTTTTAAAAGGCTAAAATGAAATGGGATTTTTTCCAACAAAAGTTAAGGACTCTTCTGTCTCCAGACAATTTGCTAATCCCAAGCAAAAGCATTTTGCTTTTCTCAGCAAGAAAATCCAGCAAAGATGTCGTGAAAATAGAAATCTCTTTGGTGTCATTTAACTTTTTACACAGGAAGCACCTAGACTTGTTCCACTTTTTCTGCAGGCACTAGTTAAAGGGGTAGGAATTTATTTAGATACCTTAGTCCCCATGCATTGAATTATACTGTGTACAACTGCTATTCAACGAAGTAAAATTACAGAGGTGGATTACGTTCAGTAGTGATGGAGAGATCACCTGGAAGGAAGATTACTAACACCTGTGCTCATTTCGCGCCGGTTACTCACCTGAGAGAATACTTTGCTTTGCACAGAAGTGGAAGGAACCCGGATCTGAGGGACGGATGCTAGTGATGGCTGCTGTTGTGCTACCACCTGGGCCGGCTGAGACAAAGGGGGAAGGCTAGTCTGAGCTGCAACTACTCGGACTTGAGGAAGGCCTGAGGAAGTGGTGTGGCTAGCCGCCCGTGGGGTTGATAGCTGAGATCCAGGCTGAGCCTGAGCGCTCTGTGTGGTTGAGAGCAACGTCCCAAGCTGGGGCATGGTGGGAGAAGATACCAAAAGGATGCTATGCAACAATGAAACAAAACAAAACATCCTCATGAGTATACAAAAAAAAGAGAGAGAATGAAAGAAAGAGGGGGGGGGGGAGAACGTTTCTTCTAAAGCAGAGTTCCAGCTGGATCAAATGTTCAAAACACAGTGAGACACCACAGGCCCTTCTTTTCTCAACCCTCCCCCCCAAAAAACAATAGTTCAAACAACAGCTTATCATTTGAAATGCTACTTCAAAGACATTTCCCCAAATTGCTTGGAAAGCCTGCCGATATTTCTACATTCTTCAAACAAACCAGACCACCACCATGTTTTCAAAACAGTCCCTATTCTTACGTCACCTGCTATGCTCTGGAGCGGGGGTGTCAAACTGGATTTCTTCGAGGGGCGGATCAGTATTGTAGTTCTCTGTGGACCCGGGGGGGGAGGGGGGGAGAGATGGAACAGACGCCTCTTGCAGCACCCTGCCAGCCAAAACAGAGCACGGGGCGGCTCCCCCTTTTCGGCCTGAATGGCCTCTTGCACTTTACTGGCCAAAACGGGGCATGGAGGCCCTCTGAGCCTCATTACTGCCCTCCATGGCATCCTGCAGCACTCTGCTAGCCAAAAATGGGCCCGTGGGGCTCTCGTGCAGCCTGTTTTCGGCCTCCAGCACCACTTTGTTGGCCAAAAACGGGCCACGTGGAGGCCTTGTGCCAGGGAGGCTGAAAATGGGCCACCAGGGAGAAGCGGGGGGGCACACAGTCTGTTTAAGCCAGCAGAGGTACCGCAAGTCAGTCCTTTTGATATTTCCAGGCTGGCCCCGTGGGCCTTGAGTTTGACACCCCTGCTCTGGAGGAATGACTTGTAGAAGATTGTAACCAAGAAACCTGGCATCGTTGGTTATATTTTCCCTCCTTTTACCAGCTAGTGTGCTCTCTAATCCCTACCCCTGCCTTATCCTTATTCCGCCTGGAGATATTTCTAACCCGCTCCGACGTCTTATTAAGGTGTACAAGAGAATTACCTCTGGCTGGATTTTGCTGGCTCTGTTGCAACGCAAGACAAACTCTTGCTAACCACAGAGACGGGAGGGGGTGAAATAGGCATTGCTGGCAAAGGGAGTGCAGCGGGCGTCACTGGAGTAACTGGGGTTGGCGGCATGCTGGAATCGCTAACGCTCAGCTGGCTGAGCTCAGAGATGCCGGTGGTCACCCCTTTCGAAGAACTCTCCTTGGTGCTGGATTTCTACAATGTCAAGAAAGGAGCTTATTTTCTTGGAACACACAAACACACGTCACACACCCCACACACACACTCTCTGCATTCATCTCTGACAATCTGGACAAGTTCACATAATGAAAGAAGAACACCAGATCTTCTCAAAACAGTCTGCATTTCAAGGACACAGCAAATTTAAAACCCCGTTTTAACCCCGGACAATTTTAGAAGGAATTGAGAAGACCAAGAAAGCTGCGGCTGATCATTATGGGCAGAGCTCCACTAGATGAGCAGACTCAAGCCTTTATGAGCTGCCTCTGTGCAGGTATGAGAGGAAGAACAAAAACCAAGCAGTGAAAACTTGCAGTGAAAAGGCAACAATTCCTGAAAGGAATCACAGCTTTCTATCCTCCGCCTATTATCATATACGGAAGGTTTTTCATTGGCTGTTTTGCACATCATATTCAACTGCAACTTACCACTTTAAGAGAAGTAAGAGAGAAGTAAGATATAATCATCCTGTTTATGTCCCTACCAATCCATATACTTGAATGAACAATTTATGGCTTCCATTTTTATTGTCCATCCTTTGTCCTAAGAGCAACTCAAAAAGTCTCGCTTTTACTTTTGTTTAAATGCAACTACTTGTAATCAGGAACTGAGATTGATGCTACCCTGTTTCCCCAAAAATAAGCCCTCCCCGAAAATATTGCAACACAGCAGCAGCCTCGAGGTGACCATGCTCGCCGCCTCCTGCAGCTCAAAAATTATAAGACCTCCCCCAAAATAAGGTCAAGCGCTTATTTCAGGGGTCAAAAGAAAATAAGAGTGTCTTATTTTCAGGGAAACACAGCAACGATGATGAGACGTTTTTCTATGACTTTATCTATGTGTCAAATCAAGTCTGTGAGGGAATGCGGACTCTTTGGAATTCTCTTCTCCTGCAGACTCGTTTTCCCAAAATTAGAATTGGTCCAGCACGTTTGAGAATACAAACTACTTGTTTGTAGCCGGAATTAGGATATGGCCAAAGATACCTCTACCCCAGTGTTTCTCAACCTTGGCAACTTGAAGATGTCCGGACTTCAACTCCCAGAATTCCCCAGCCAGCATCCGCCTTCAAGGTAGGGCAATAAGATTTTCGGAAATCTTTGCTCCAAAGACACAACTTACTGTCTTTGTAGGCGGCTTTGGCTTCTGCTGAAGAGCCTTCTTGGCCTTTGCTGCAGCTGCCTGGGCCTGATGAATCCGCTCTGGAAGGAAAGAATCAGCAGCAGTTCTCAAACAGATGCCAAGAGAGAGAGAGAGAGAGAGAGAGAGACATGCACACCTAGGCAGCCCTTTCCTTCAAAAATACACATGTGATTCCAAGAATTCCCTCTCATGGTTGACATAATTTGCCAGCCTAGAACAGGGGAGTCATACATGAAAATTGCTAAGGTTCTAAAGAGACTTTCTTGCTATCCACTGAAATCCTGTTCCTATAGGCGGCTTCTGTGTCTTTCACTTTAAAATTTTGAATATGAGCAAGCAATGGCTATTCAAATATAACAAGAGGAAAATTGTGGGTATCCTCTCAGCAATGGCAACATTTATAGTAAACAGGGGCAAAACATGTTAGGAAGGAAGGAAGGGAGGGAGGGAAGGAAGAAGGAAGGAAGGAAGGAAGGAAGGAAGGAAGGAAGGAAGGAAGGAAGGGAAGGAAGGAAGGAAGGAATCCAGTTTTAC